AAATAAAAACTATTAATTCTAATCTGTGAAAAAAATCTTATAGAAATTCCCAAATGAATGATAGTATAACTGATGATGATTTCATAAAAGCCACATAGCTTTATAGTTTAATTAAGTAAGCAACACAATTTGTATAATTAATAATTTAGAAAAGAGATGAGTAATCAATAGAAATAACAACTTAAAACAATTTTGTTTAAAAAAGTTATTTAATTTTAATAAGTAATTACCTAGTAATTATAACAACAAGCTTAAAAATATTAAAAAGTAATTAAAAAGTTTTATTTTTAAAGACAAACTCTTAACTATTTAAAATAACATTAAAAATTAAACCCCTAAATTAGGCAATAGTTATAAAACGTACTACAACTCCTTAAAGTATGCTTTGCAAGCCATTAAAATCATATTTTATTTTGCAAAAATTTACATTTTTTATGAGCCATAAAGAGTAATAAAAATTTTGGGTGTGTGTGTGTGTTTGAGTGAAAAAAAATCCATCTATCTATAAAGTGTAACTGTCATAAAACATATTGTGACGCAGTAATTATGTTGTATTTCTTTTTTTGTATAGAAAAATACTAATAATAATAATGATAAATGTTAAATTTTTCTCCCCAGCAGCCCAAAGGGGAGTAAAGGGCTGTAAAGGATTTGTGCATAAACTGTTAGGCATTAAGCACTTAGTAAAATAAAAAAAAAAAAAAAAAAAAACACAAAAGGATCCTTTAACAAGCATAACAAAAAGTCTAAAGAAAAGAGCAGCAGCATTTTAGGAGTTTGTTTATTTGTTTGTACTTTAAAAGCTTAAAGCAAACTGTGAGTAGGTAGTTATGCCAGTATGTGTTTTTTTTTGTTGCAACAATAACAACAAAATCTCAAGTACAGCTGAACAAAGGCATTTGTTAGAACAAAAAAAAAAAAGATAGCCTGGCTTAAGGCTGACAAATACATTTTTAACACATATACACAAAGCATACTTATAAGGGTTTGAAAATTAAAAGGCGTTGTCTAGAGAAAAACTGTTGCTTTTTGTTTAAAATCTTTAGGTTTTAATTGTTAGTACATAATTTAATTAGTTATTAAGGAAATTTTGTTAAATTTTATAAGGTTATTGAACTTATTTGTCTTAAATTATAGTTTTAACCCTAAAAATATGTTGCTTATTAAAGTTTAATCATTTTCACAGTCTACTTTAAGGGTTTTTTGTTTTAAGTTAAAAAACTATGCTCTTTTAACTTAACGTTTTTTCTCTCTCTCGGTCTAATGCTCTTCCCCTGAAATGGCGCCAAAAATGAATTAATGTGTCTGTTGCCAACAAATTACCCCCTCAAAAAAAACCGTTATGAGAAAAATCTATCCCTTTGCAGCTCTGAAACAAGTTTCTAAAGCTCTCTTGAGACTAGTACAAGTGCACTAGTAGCGTCATTAGTAGTACATAGTAAAATGTGTAATTTAGCTTGTTGTTGTTGTTGTTGTTGGCGTCGCCGACCGGCCCCATGTTTTACATCATGGAAATTATTGTTGTTTTTTTTTTGTCATTCTCTCAGTATAATATTGTCTTGTTATTTTCTAACTCATATTTCAGCCAATTTATTTATTTAAAGCAGAGTTGGGAATATAAGCTTAATAGGCAAATAATATATTTAAACTGGAAAGTAGATTTGGTTTTGCCCAAAAAATTTGTTAATTATTTGGTTACAAGAAAATATTTATGGCCTTAGTTAGTTAGAAGAAAATAAGCTTTTTATAAGAGCTTTCCTATTAGTTTAACTTTTTAGTACCCATCTCTGATTTGCACACACGTGTAGCTATAAAATTTTTTTTATCATACTCAAAAATACTCAAGGTCGTACGTTGGCTATAGAAAATATTGCTTGTATGGGTTGTTGCTGCTGCTGCTAAGCTTTTTATTGTTGCTGTTGTTGTTGTTGTAATTGTAGTAGTACTAATAGAGTTTACTTATGGTTGATTGTCTCTACTCTTTATACCGCTTTTGCATTGAGAAATAATGGTACTTTAACCCTGTGTGTAAAAGGCAAAGCTTTTTTTTGGTTGTAAAGGGGGTTTACTTTATAAATAGAAAAGCTTTTGTAAGGTTTTAAGTTTACTTAGAGAGAAAGAGATCAAATTCCAGTTTTTTTCCTAAAGTCAAGAAATTTTTATTTAATTAAAATTTCCTGTTAATTTTCTTTTAAATTTGAATAACATGAACTTATAAATTTATCTTTTAAATAAGAAAAGTACTGCACTATAGGTAAACAAAAACTAGTGCCTACTTTTAGTCGTTTAAACTAAGTTTATGTTATCTTATACTTTGATTTCAAACAGACAACGACACACCCATACAAATGTTTGCCCTGATACCGACTACAACTTGGTCTCTTTTTTTGCAATGAATTGCTGTTGTTGTTGTTTTTTTATTATACTATGATATTTCCGCTCAAATTTCCGTTAAATATTGCTTTTGTGGAGGCTGTATAGTACAATCAGCCTTTTTGTTTGTCTGTCTGTCTTTCTGTCTGTATTGGTTTCATTTTATTTAGAGAGATGGTCTCCTCTTGAATCAAATCTACACTTCCGCCTTTCATTTACATGGCTGTTTGTTCCATTGCAGCTTTAAAAATGTCTTTTTTTGTGTATTTGTTGGCAATTGTAAAAGAGTACGTTTTTTGCCGGCCGGTTTTTTTTTCTTATTATGTAAAAGTTAAACAAGCAACAGAAATTTACAAGTTTTTTAATGTAATTTTGTTTAAATTTTAAGCCTATTTCAAGGGGAAAAGTTTAATTAAGGGAAAATTTAATTAAAAAACCTAGCCTACTTTAGGGCTTATTAAAATTTTATAGTATAAATTTGCTTAAATTTATTAAAATTTTTTAAATTTTTTTATTTAATTTTAATTTTAAATAAAAATTCAAATTCTAGGGAATTTATTTGAAATTATTTTTATTTTTTAGTTGAAATTATTGCAAAAAAATATAAACAAAAAAAACCCCAGAACAAAAATTCTTAAATTTTGTGTTTCAAAAAAAGATTTTGAGTCATTAAATAAACAAAAATTTAAAATTTAAATGCAAAATTTATGGCTGCTGTTGTTGCTATTAAAACAAGGAAATTTTTAATAAAAAAAAGTACAAAGTTCTGAATTTTTTTCTTAAATTTAAAACATTTCTACAAGATGTCATATAAATTATCACAAAAAAAAAGTCACGAAATTTTAACAAAAAAAAAAAAAATCTTGTTAAATCTTTGAAATCTATAAAATTTAGAACACTTGACAACAAAACTAAAACACACAACAACAACCGGTGCAAAATAAATATAAACATTTAGCAATAATAAAAAAAAAGCACAAAATTTAACACGAATCTTATTTCTTTTAAGAAAAAAAAAAATACATGAAATAAAAAGCTAAATAATAAAAATTAAAAATAAATGCAACGTGTCAAAGACAAAAAAAAAACTAAAATATTTACTATACAATTAAAATAAAAATAAAATAAACAACGTAAATAGATAAAAACAAAACAAATTGCATTTCAAGAGAAACACAGAGAGACAGACAAATGAGTGCTTTTATTTAAACTAGTTTAAATACAAACAAAATAACATTTCGCGCCAAAAAAAAAATATGATTCCAACTCTTAAATAACTTAAATTGCAAGTTAACATAACAACAAAACTATAGATTACCGTTAGTTCATTTTTAACAAAAGAGAGTTCCATTTTTTTAAGGTATAACAAAGTTTATACTGCCCGGCATAAAACCTACGCCTTAATTAATATGAAATGCGCAGATGCGCTCATTTTGCAAGTAGACGAAAATAATTGTTATAAGAGCTAAATAACAAAAAAAAAAAACTAAATTATAGAGTAAAAACATTAAGCCGGCATGGCTTGGGGTAGGGTAGTAAATTGTATAGGTAAATACCCTTAGATTTTAATAGAAATAAAGCAGACAGATAGAAAATACTAAATAATAACTCAATTAGTACATAATAGTGACATAAAAACAAAAAACATTAAAGAAAAGCCTTAAAGTAGACTTTATTAATTAAAAGCCTTAAGGTTTAAATATAAAATATTATAAAAAATATTCTAAACATTTAACAAAATGTCTAAATTTCAACAAAATTGCTATTTTTAAACAAAAATCTTTAACAATTTGGGTGTAACCTTAAAATATTTAAAACTTTAAACCGTAAAAATACAATACAACTAAAATAAAAGCATACTTTAAGGCGTAGTAAAAATTACAATGCATTCAGTAAAACTCAAAATTTTGAAACTGCGCATTTCATTACTCTCTTTGGAAAACTAAGCACTCACTTCACACACTCCCCTCCCGCCAATCAGTTTTCCCTAAAACTTTAAAGGTTACTCTAAAAGGCAGAAAAGAACACAACGTGGTCGTAAAGACGCCTTAACTTAAACTTTTAAAGAAAACGCCTAGTAATATGCCACAAAAAGAAAACTCTAGAACAAAAAAGGCGCCAAAAATTTAAAGAATAGAATTTTGCAATTCATTTAAAGAAATTTCGCCATAATTTAAAATGACTTTGCTCTTTTTTTCATTACATTTATAAAAGTGGACTTTTGAACTATTGTATTTTTCTTGTCGTCAAATGTGTAAAATTGTTGTAGCCTACATTTAAGGGGGGGCAGCTGTTCAGAAAAAAAAAAATTATATATACACTGCAGCACTTATATTCAAACAATTTCACAATATTTTGTAATAAAAAATAAACACTCGTAAAGAGAATGTTGTTTCCACAAATGAATGACGTTGAAAGCAAAAAAAAAATCCAACAAAAAAAAAAGAAGAGTAATTATCAAGTCTTTAATAAATACAAAACTAATAATAATAACGATAAGATTACAAGCGCCAAAGGAAAAACGACAATATGTTTAGAAATTTCCCCTTTAAAAAATAAACTCTTTTAAATCACAACAAAAAAAAAACATAAATAATAATAAACAAAATTTGACTTGACCAACTCACCAGAATCCGAGGGTGTTTCCAAATTTGTGCTCAAATCATCCATGCCATCTTTGCAGCGTGTATAACTATGATCCCGATGTTGCATATAATGTTGCGTACTACTAATATTTGACGATTGACTTGATACCGGCGACACACCACCAGCTCCATAGCTAATTTCATCCAATAGCGAAGATGAACTTGAACCCATTGTTGATTCTTCATCGGAATCAGATTCGGAGGAACGCATTGAACCGTTATTGTGAGCCGAATGATAACTACTGAAACCACTCGAACTACTACTACTCGTCGTCGTGGGAGCTTTTAGATATTCGCCGGTATTTGTGGGACTATTATTGATGAGATCCAAGACTTCGGTAAAGGAGTAATTTCTACCGAGACGTGTATCGATTTGTTTTTTACTCGTATCCTGTAGTTCTAGCTCAACACTCTTGATAAAGACCTCATCTGGGGTGAGAGGATTTGGGGTTAGAGAAATGTTATTGCTGCCCATGACACAGGCTCTTAGGTCGACATTATGTTTGAATTCGGTTGTAGAGCAATCATCATCTAAACTGTGTGGTGTATCGGGACGTTGATAAAGTAGGGAAGTGTTTGCACTGGAGGTGTTAGAGCTGGCGGAGGTGTTAAATAGGTTAGTAGAGTGTGTAGATATTATGTGGTTGCTGGTATTAATGGCATTAGCTGAGGGCAATAGTTGATCACCACGTTTTGTTATGTGTAGGGTACCGCGCGTCTGTTGCTGTAATTTCTTTTGTTGTTGTTGTTGCTGGGATTTGCGTAGTAAAGAGGTGCCGGGTGGTATATTGTTAATATTTGCCACATTCGCCGTACTTACTAGCATAACAGGATGTGGCTGTTGTGTTGACGTTGTTTGGGCTGCGGCTACTGTAGGCGTTGTCTTGCTATTTGGTATTTGGTGATGAGCCAACTGTTGCTCAACATCATCTGTAGGTTCTTGTTTAATCTGTACTATTTCCTGTTTAAATTTCATAGGATTTACTTTCTTAGCTGTAACCACGGTGGGTGCATGCAGCTCTTCTTTTTCTACTTTAATTTGTAAACTAGCGGTTTTGGGGCTGTTGCCGGAGGCAGCGCCACCCATCACAGCGGCCAATGATACTCCCGAACTAATGTCGCTGGACATGGAGGAGGCGGATGTAGAGAGAATGGTAGTGGGTGGTGCTGTCCACCACATTAAATCTGTATTACGTACTTCGGTCTTCACATCCAAATCTAAATCCATAATACTGCCATACGATGAAAAACCATTGTCTGATTCAATTTTTTGTATATCGCCACAGATGGAGGGTAAATCATCGAATGTCAAATCAAAAGGATCGGGTTGTATTTGATGGAATTCATCGGAGAAGCCATTGGGTGATAAATCACTTAAGAAAGAGCTAATAGGTGAGGTCCCATAAGGACTGCAAAGTTTTGCCATTTTGTCGAGTTGTTCTATAAGGTCCGATTTATCACAAATTATTTTGGGTTTCGTATAATTCTTAACAAGAGAAGATGCCAGATCTTCTAATGTTTGGGGAGGGGGGCAGGTTGTTTGTTATAGTTTAATCAATAAACTGTAAAGAGAATAAGGAAATAAAAAGAAAAATATTTAGTTTTTTTGTTTTGCAAATGGTTTTTTTTTTACTAAAAACTAAATTATAAATTATTTTGTGTCTTAACGCGGTAATTGTGTTTTATTTTTCTTAAGTTTTCTTCTTATTGTTGTCAAAATATTAGCAACAACTATGAACATAATACTTATTGAGTAATTTCTCTTGTTTCTTTTTTCAGTTACAATTAACACTTTATCAACTTTTACACATAAACACATACATTTGCCTGTAATTAAATGGACTAAGCTTAACAATTGCATTCCATACACAAACAAAACAATAGAGAAACAACTGAAACAGTAGAAAATAATAAACACAGTAAGTGCGAGCATATTTTAGTGATGATGTGTGAGGGGGGATTACTCTTGTTTGTAAATGTTTCTTTTTTTTCTGGTTCTTGTTCTTGCTTATTGTTGTAATATGTGTGGGCGTATTTTAAATAGCAAAATACAAATGATAGTTTGCCATTTTTCTGTTTTGTTTTTTTTTTTTAATATTTGTGTGTTGTTTTGTGGGCGTTTAGTGGTATTTTGTTGTAAATTACTGTTATTTGTATGTATTTTATTTTGCTATTTATTGTTGTGTTAAGCTATTTTGGCGCCATATTAAGTAAAAAAAAAATTGCTCTTTTATCAAAAATTTAAATAAATTTGAAGAGAAATTGAGAATATTGAATTGTAATATTACATTAAATATAGAATTTGTGTTTTTTTTTTTTGTAAAGTAAACAAAAACATTGTTATTTTTATTATTTAGTAAGAAAATGTTTACTAAGTTTGATTTACATTAAGTAGGGAAAGGGGAGATTATTACAACAATTAGTCATATTATTATTTTATTTGTTTATTAAAATAAAGAAAACAAGTTTTATAAACAATTGAGATAAGTTTTGTATAAATAAAAAAAAAACAAATTCCTAGAATTTGTAATTTGCAAAAAAAGTTAAGTTTACAAGAAATTATGAATCAAATATTTATAAAAAAAATAGTGAATGAGTAGGTAGGTACCTATTTTTATATTTCTAATAATAGATTACATTCCTCTATAGTAGTGCAATTATTTTTAAAAATTTTAAAGAATTTAATTATTTCTTCAAATACTACCTATACCTACAAATTTGTTTTGAAACTTATTTATTAAAAATTTTTAAAAAATAACAAGAAAAATCTTGAAAAAATCGAAAAATTTAAAAAGTTTTTTTCAAATCTTTTATAAAAAAGTAGAAAATTCTTACAATTTGGAAAAAAAAACATTAATTAATTAATAAAATTTTAATTTTCCACATAGATATTCATTAATATAAAAAATTAACTCTTTTAAATCACTGCTAAACACGAAAAATTAACACAACTCATAAAATTTTAAAACTAAAAAGCCACAACAACAATTGATATGCAAAATAATAAACAAAAAAAAAAATACATAAATTGCAGAAGAAGAAAAAAACAACAAATCCCTTTGCACAAAAAAAAACTAGTTTTTATTTATAAAAATTCAGCCCAAAAAAATGCCGGCAAAGTTTTTTGTTTTCTTCTTATGTTTTCCTAAACAAGTTTTCTTTAATTATCTCTTTTTTCTTAAATTTTTATCCATACACATCTATCTATCATCTTCTGTGGTTCATTTTATTTGAAAAATATTTAGGGAATGTCATTTCATTTGTTTTGTTCTTTTTTTTTTTTCTTGTGCATTTCTTATTTTTCGCCATGTTTTTTTTTTATATTTGAAAAAGCTTAAGAGAGTTTTGAGTGATTTGCGCAAGCAATTTTGCAAAGAGTGCAACGCAGCAGCAGTGTAAACAAACACATAAACGTAGTGCAAGTTAAAGCAACAAATCAAAATAATGCAAGTGTAAACAAACCGCTTAAAAAGCGTAAAAGTGGAGAACATTTTTTTGTGTAATAAAATGTTTACATGGGGAAACTTTGTTTTTATAAATTTTTTAATAAATTTAGCAATTTTAAATATTTTTGGAAATTTTTTTCCTTTTTGAATGTTTTAACATTTTCCCTTAAAGTTCAAAAGATCACTAAACAGAGTGCAACTCAGTTCTTAACTTATGCTCTGTTATTATAACATGTAAACAAATTTTGCTACTAAAACAGAATTCACAAAAACTAGACGTCATTTTTTTTTGACGACAACAACAATTCAAAATAAAAACGCATCATTTTCCGATTAAAGATAAAGAGTTGATTGACTCTTTTTAACAAAAAAGAGAAAATTAATAAATTGATTTGTTTACGTTTTTTGTTTATAACTAAACAAAGTTATTGTTGTTGTTATAAAGTATTTTTGGTGTTTTCTTTTAAAGCTATTTAAGCAAAAAAAAAAAGTGCCGTTAGAATGCAGTTGCAGTGTTTTGAAAAAGAAGAATGCACAGTGGTTGCGATAGCAGGAAAAATTGCGTAACATTTTGTATGTAAAATTTTAATTTTGATTAAAAAAAGTCATGAAATTTAATAAATTAAAATTTGTTAAACTAATGGAATAGAAGTTAGGATAGGCAAAACCTAAAATTTTACCTTAGTTATTATGATGAGTGCCACCGAAGAGCACAACAATTACAGAAGACATATTTGATCCATAAAATCTTTCGATAAGTAAAACTTTTTTAATTTTGAATGCACAAAAATTCAATTTAAATTGAGATTTTGAATTGCGAAAACTGAAACTAATAATACCTATTCATTTCATACATAGGTATTCAGTAAAATTCAATTGATAATGAGTTTTTTCATTTCGAATTCGGAAAATAACAAAAGAAAATCAATTAGAAATGTGATTTTTCGATGTAAATTCGGAAATGTACAAGTGAAAATTGGATTTTTTATATAAAACTTGGAAAATAACAGTTACGTTATAATTTCATACATTTCGAATCGAAATTTAACATAAATTGCGTAAATTTTGTTTCATTATTTTCTTAATCAGGCCAATTATGCACAATAATTTCCCGGCAGTTTATTCCATTTTGCCTGCTTTATATATGGGAGTGGGAACAAACACTCCATGAATTTATTATTCAGAATAGTCCTAATTATCTATTGTTTTTTCCGAACTTTGGGATTTCTGATTTTTTTTTAAATTCAAATGAAAAATAAATATAATTTTCTACGTCTATTTATTGAATTTGAATTTCCAACGCATAAATTTTTAATTTGAAATATTATTTGCCGAATTTCGAATAAAAAAATTTAAAAAGCACTTTTTTGAAAATCAATTTAAAAAAACTATTTACAATCGAATTACGGTTCAAAATTGTGTATTTAACAGAAATAAAATTTTTAAAAGTTTTGATAATTTTTTAAACTAAACTTTCTAGATAAAATGACGAACGACTGCACGGAATTTTTAAATTAAAAAAAATAAATTTTTTGCGGGAAAAAATTTATTTTTAAAGTTTCAAAATATTAAAAAAATTTAAATTAATAGTTTTTGAAAAATTATTTAACAAACATATTAATTAAAAAAAATTAGATAAAAAAATAACAATTTCTGAATTAAAAATTTGAAATTTTGGAAAAATAAACAATTTTTAACACAATTTTCTTTTTTAAAAAAAAAATTTCAATGAAATATTTACCTTTTTTGTGTCTTAAATTTGTTTATATAAATCCAAATAGTATGTCGTTAATATAGAGTAATCCTTTTTTTATAGTTGTTGTGAAATTGTTGTAGCTGGGGTCAAAATTTGTATTTTTATAGTTATGTCAAATATTATTCTTATTTTCAATAAATTTTTTTTTAGAAAAGATTTCAAATCTTTTTGCCTTTTTTTCAGTTGTTAAAGTAATTACTAAAAAAGCACTAGGTTTACACTTTTCAAAAGATTTTTTTATGAATTTTATTTTTAAATTTATTTTTCAAATTTCAGCAAAGGCTTTTTTCAATCCTTTTTAGTGCTTTTTTTCTTGTTGCTTACTGGTATTCAATTCCAAGTTCTCTTTTTAGAGATTTTTTTTCTTTTCAGGAATTTTTATATTTTGTAACTTTTGTATTTGTTGTTAATTATTAACGGTAAAATTCACTCACAAAACAATTACAATACACTGAGAAGAGCAAAATTTTTTTTAATTTGCTTCGAGAAACCAAAATTTCAATTTGGTTTTTTTTTCAACAAAATTTCCAATATTTTTCTTTCTTACTTCCAGAGAAGAATTTTATTTAAATAAAAATATTCTTAATTGTAAATTAAAATTTCTTTTATAAATATTTTTTAATGACAACAATTTATTGTTGCTGTTGGTGTTGTTTATAAATAATAAAAATTGCAAAAAATTGCTTAAATTTGTTGGTTTTGTTGTTAAAATATGTTTTGTTGGTTCCGTTGTCAATAACTGCATGACCAACTTGTTCCAAAACGATTTTATATTTTTGTTTGTTTAAACACTTTTCTTTTTGTTTTTTTAATAAAATTTTTCAAAAATTTTCCGACCGTTATTTTATTTTCAAATTTTTTAAAATAGAAAAATTTATTTAAATTAATTTTTACGCGTTAATCCCACCGTTTATTATTGCGGTGTGTTTGACGTTTGTGTGCTTTTGGTTTTGTGTATGAAAAGGAAATGATTTCTTTCGGTTTCAAGTTTGTTGTTAAAATATTTTAAGTTTTGTGTTGTGTTATAATAATAATTCTTTACACTTTGCTTTTTTTTTGTTACTTTCTATCTCTAGAATTCTTTCTGCTTGTAGTAGAAAAGCACTTTTTTTTTAAATTCCTCTTAAATATTCTATTTGAGCTCTGAGCGCGCGTATCATTAAATAATGTAAAAACGACAAATGTCTCTTTATATATATAAGTATGTATAAAAATTTTTATATTTTTTTTCTTCTTCTGTAAGTTCAAACTATATATTGAACTATAGACACGACCGTTCACATGAAAGTCCCAAAGTGAAGTGTTTAAATGAACGCGCCAAAAAGTGTCTACAACCAAACGTATCGACAACACTGTGTGAACAAAATAAAAATCTAATAAAAACTGAGACTAGCAGAATTTGGTGAAAGACAAACATTTTAATAAACCAAACACACACAAACTCAAAACACCACTCATTTTAAAGAGTATACTCTTACCTAAACATCCATACAAACATACTCAAACACACAACAAATACAACAACACCAACCACAACATAATAAAAGTTACTACATTCGTTTTAATTTTCTTTTCTTCTTATGCTTTACTATTTTTCATCAGTTTTACTTAATGTATAGTAGTTTCTTACATTAGCACATAAATGCCGGTTATTTAGAGACCGGAGAGATTTGAGCATTGAGCACAACTAATTTAAAGAGTACAATTTTATTTTCAAAAGAGAGTAACGGAATTTATTGTTAAACTAAAATTTATTATTCTATTCAAACTGAGTCGATTTTAGTCAAATTGAGCAGATTTAAAGCAAAATTTCAACAGATTGCACGATGGGGCAGCTATAATAAAAGAGACTTGCGGCAATCAAAAATGAAAACTGATACTTTGTCTTTTCTATAGTCTTCTAAAGTCTAGTCTATAGTCTAGTCCATAGTCTGATATATAGTCTAGTCTATAGTCTAGTTTATAATCTAGTCTATATTCTAGTCTATATTCTAGCCTATAGTCTATTCTATAATCTACATAGCCGATAGTATAGTCGATAGTCCAGTCTATAGTCGAGTCTATAGTCTAGTTTATAAACTAAACTATAGACTAGACTATAAACTAGACTATAGTACTATGTAGACTAGTATAGTCTAGCCGAGTCTAGTCTATAGTCTAGATCATAGTCTGGTATATAGTCTAGTTTAATCTATAATCTAATCTATATTCTAGTCTATAGTCTAACCTATAGTCTTGTATATAGTCTTGTCTATAGTCTAGTCTATAGTTTAGTCTATAGTCTAGTCTATAATCTAGTCTATAGTCTAGTCCATAGTCTGATATATAGTCTGGTCTATAATCTAGTCTATATTCTAGTCTATATTCTAGCCTTTAGTCTAGTCTATAATCTATATAGCCGATAGTATAGTCTCTAGTTCAGTCTATAGTCGAGTCTATAGTCTAGTCTATAGTCTAGTCTGTAGACTAGTATAGTCTAGCCGAATCTAGTCAATAGTCTCTAGTTTAGTCCATAGTCTGGTATATAGTCTAGTTTAATCTATAATCTAGTCTATAGTCTAACCTATAGTCTAGTCTATTCTATAGTCTAACCTATAGTCTAACCTATAGTCTAGTATATAGTCTATTCTATAGTCTAACCTATAGTCTAGTCTATAGTCTAGTCTACAAAAATTTATTATTAAATTAGACTTGCGGCAATCAAATATGAAAACTGATATTCTGCCTTTTCTATAGTCTAGTCTATAGTCTAGTCTATAGTCTAGTCTATAGTCTAGTCTATAGTCTAGTCTATAGTCTAGTCTATAGTCTAATCTATAGTCTAGTCTATAGTCTAGTCTAGAGTCTAGTCTATAGTCTAGTCTATAGTCTAGTCTATAATCTAGTCTATAGTCTAGTCTATAGTCTAGTCTATAGTCTACTCTATGTCTAGTCTACTCTATGTCTAGTCTATAGTCTAGTCTATAGTCTAGTCTATAGTCTAGTCTATAGTCTAGTCTATAGTCTAGTCTATAGTCTAGTCTATAGTCTAGTCTATAGTCTAGTCTATAGTCTACTCTATAGTCTAGTCTATAGTCTAGTCTATAGTCTAGTCTATAGTCTAGTCTATAGTCTAGTCTATAGTCTAGTCTATAGTCTAGTCTATAGTCTAGTCTATAGTCTAGTCTATAGTCCAGTCTATAGTCTAGTCTATAGTCCAGTCTATAGTCTAGTCTATAGTCCAGTCTATAGTCTAGTCTATAGTCCAGTCTATAGTCTAGTCTATAGTCTAGTCTAGCTAGTCTATAGTCTAGTCTATAGTCTGTCTATAGTCTAGTCTATAGTCTAGTCTATAGTCCTAGTCTATAGTCTAGTCTATAGTCTAGTCTATAGTCAGTCTATAGTCTAGTCTATAGTCAGTCTATAGTCTAGTCTATAGTCAGTCTATAGTCTAGTCTATAGTCTAGTCTATAGTCTAGTCTATAGTCTAGTCTATAGTCTAGTCTATAGTCTAGTCTATAGTCTAGTCTATAGTCTAGTCTATAGTCTTCTATAGTCTAGTCTATAGTCTAGTCTATAGTCTAGTCTATAGTCTAGTCTATAGTCTAGTCTATAGTCTAGTCTATAGTCTAGTCTATAGTCTAGTCTATAGTCTAGTCTATAGTCTAGTCTATTAGTCTAGTCTAGTAGTCTAGTCTATAGTCTAGTCTATAGTCTAGTCTATAGTCTAGTCTATAGTCTAGTCTATAGTCTAGTCTTATTAGTCTAGTCTATGTCTAGTCTATAGTCTAGTCTATAGTCTAGTCTATAGTCTAGTCTATAGTCTAGTCTATAGTCTAGTCTATAGTCTAGTCTATAGTCTAGTCTATAGTCTAGTCTATAGTCTAGTCTATAGTCTAGTCTATAGTCTAGTCTATAGTCTAGTCTATAGTCTAGTCTATAGTCTAGTCTATAGTCTAGTCTATAGTCTAGTCTATAGTCTAGTCTATAGTCTAGTCTATAGTCTAGTCTATAGTCTAGTCTATAGTCTAGTCTATAGTCTAGTCTATAGTCTAGTCTATAGTCTAGTCTATAGTCTAGTCTATAGTCTAGTCTATAGTCTAGTCTATAGTCTAGTCTATAGTCTAGTCTATAGTCTAGTCTATAGTCTAGTCTATAGTCTAGTCTATAGTCTAGTCTATAGTCTAGTCTATAGTCTAGTCTATAGTCTAGTCTATAGTCTAGTCTATAGTCTAGTCTATAGTCTAGTCTATAGTCTAGTCTATAGTCTAGTCTATAGTCTAGTCTATAGTCTAGTCTATAGTCTAGTCTATAGTCTAGTCTATAGTCTAGTCTATAGTCTAGTCTATAGTCTAGTCTATAGTCTAGTCTATAGTCTAGTCTATAGTCTAGTCTATAGTCTAGTCTATAGTCTAGTCTATAGTCTAGTCTATAGTCTAGTCTATAGTCTAGTCTATAGTCAGGTCTATAGTCTAGCATACTATACAAGGTACAATGATTATCATATTTTGCAATCAGTTGCTCTTTGGGCTCCAACCTGCACTTCTGCCTGCCTTCTATACAGCCGCGAGAAGAATCCAGAAACTAAATCTCAAAAATTAAACTATACTTATAGACTTAGACAGCCTTGCATCAAGCAAGGCTCTTAACTCCAATGTTATTAAGTCGAAATTCTTATCAAATATATTAAATCATTGGCACAACTGACACAACATCGCGTTGAGTTGATATGGGTTCCAGGTCATGAGGGCACCGGGGAAATAAAATATCTGATGAATGTGTAACGAAAGGGTCGTCTCTAGACTTAACACTTGCGCAAGAGGATATTCATACTCCCCTGACGACCCAATCAAAATTGATAGATGACTTGGCATTGAGTGAAACGGAACTCAAGTAGTCAAATAACATTACTTGTAGAATATCGAGACTGCTCTGGCACACTCTGATAACAGATAGGACTATCTTGTCTCTTAGTAAGAACTCGATTAGTCTTCTAACTGGTATAATTACTGGGCACTGTATGATTGGACAGTATGGAACGGAACGTATGGGCTACCCACATTATAGCTACTGTGGAAGCTGCTTGGACGAAGAAGAAGTGGAATCGGTACAACACCTTCTATGTGACTGCACATACTACTCTATCTTGGTAAAGCTCTTTTCCATGATCTTGACTGTCTCAGAGATGCGTCACTAGTAAACGTGATCGGTTTTATTAGAAACACCGGCTGGTTTTCACGGAGACCGAACGAACCAAGTAGTCAGCGAAATTAGGGAGGGAAACCACTCTCTTAATACAAGGGAAAGGTAATTCTAAGGGTATCATAATGAGCGAACAATCCACGTAATCTATAGACTAGATTATAGACCAGCACAAATATACGCTATGAAATCGATGCCAAAATTCTTATATTGTTCAGAAACATGTAAATATCTTGTCCATGAGTTTATACGACGTATCATATAAAATATGTATATATTTGCATATTTTGGTTTCCCTGTTTATGAGTATTTAGGCAATATTCCCAGAGTCACTTGTTTCATGGCTAAATTAATGTTGTTGTAAAGATATGTAAGTCGAATATCAAATTATTATACAAATTGATGAACTCAGATAGTGAAACACTTTTTGAAATTAAATCCAAACACTTTAAGAAAGATTTCATGCATCATCGCACGATTTTAAGGAAGATACACTGATTACATGAAAAGGTTGGCAAAACAGGTCCGGTTGGACAAATGTATACATATGTATTACAACATTTAATCTAATGCATATGGCTATTGATCTATCAATAAACATTTCTTTGTTAAAATTTTTAATTTATTGATATTAATCAAATAAAATTGAAATTTTTTCATTATTCTTTCATTATTTCAAAAAGTAGTATTTTTAAATTTTTGAGCTCTTACTAAATTTTACAACCCAGCGGTTAAATACTCAAAATTCACTCGTATTCTCTCATAAATAAACATTTTTTATCCTGTTCTCTCTTCGGTACCATTTTTACTCACACAAATGAGTGTAAACAACACATTTTCTTTGCACTCACACAAACTAGATGGCGAAACAACAACAATGACAAAAGTAAACAATCACTGAGAGAAATTCTAATTGATATTTAAGTAGACAAGAAAAAAAGCTCATTTTTAAATACTTTACTACACTTTTTGAAATTGTTTATAAAACTAAACTGGGAGGAAAAAGCTCAATATTTACAGATTTTTATGAAATAATGGAACCAAATACAAGATAATGTTTCTGTTTTCGTTGACGTTGATTTCTTTATTGCAAAATTATATGAAAAAAATAATGACTTTAAAGCTTTTTTGGAGAATGTTTTTTTCGAATTTCATGAATCAAATAAAACAACAATT